ATGCATTATATAAAGGTACAATTCCCAATGAGAAATGTAATTGTGTTGTATACCTACAATGTACCAATAAAAGAATTTAATACAAAAAAAAATGAACACACAGAAGTAAAAAGTGTAAAGATTTTATGCTGCACAGTAGCATCCACTAGAAACCATTGGTGTTGAAAAAATCACTGCAAAATCTTATAAAGCATTGTGCAATGTAAAAATGATTGCCAGTTAACAATAACCAGTCTTTATATGTTGACCTTCACCAAAGTAGAATGATAGACCTTTGGATTGACTGGCTACAATGGCAGACATGCTGGCAATGTGTCAACCCAACAGCAGACTTTCACTCACCAAATCAGATCTCATTACTGCTGCCCCTGAATGTCAAGACTACCAGCAATAGAAACCAAAGCAATCCTGGATACAGCACCATGTCTCAAGGGGACAAATCTTCTAGTAAATGGTAAGTTAACTTTATAAGGACCCTTCTTTCGGAGAAGTTATTTGCAAGGACAGATACCTGTTAAAGGACTGGGTATGTTTCCTGTCCACAGAGCCTGGGCCTATATACTAGTGTATAGAGAATGACAAAATCATAAAATCCCATATGGTTTGGCATCTTATCAGAGGAGCTGCACACAATATAGGTATGTGACCATTGTATCGTACACCACAGCACCCAGAAGCAAGCTGGCTTTATCAAACACTGGAACAGCAACGGCCTTCCAACTGCACAGTTAAAGTGTCACCTTAGAGGCTACACTTTGAAAGAACAGAATAGACACCATTCCTTAGTGTATGCATTAAACCAGAGACTTCTACCATGCATGGGTCCAGAGATAAAGGGAAAAAGCAGAAGGAGTCAAACGTATGATATCTCTCAATGATCTACTGGAGATTTGAGCTTCTAATCCTTGCCACTCTGCTCCTGCAACTTTAGTCTTTTCAAGATTTAAGGTTCTGGTCCCCAAAAGTGTACTCTTGTGAGGATGCACAAAAAATATCCCATTAATTTATAATTTATGGCTGCCACCAAGGAATTTTGGAATCCTTCTCTCTAGAGAATATCAGCTAAGAAGAGATAACATCAACGTGGCAGAGGTTATTGTTTCTGATTTGTAAGAAGTGGGGCTTTTTTGGATCAATAAAGAATACATGTAGTGAAAAAAAAATAATAATTAGGGTGGATAATGTCCGTCCATCCATTCACCAAACTAAAATAGCAAAAACTAAAGAAGGAGATAGCCAGATTTCTGCATTGTGGCCACTGTAATAGAAACTGGGACCTTTATTTAGCACAGTTGTTGCTTTGTTTTGTCCTAAGAAAATTTCTTCTACAATCAACTTATTGAGAGGAAGCTATTCTAAGGAACATACCTCCATCTGAACTCACTCCTTCTCTCTAATTCAGACCCTCTTTATTCTACTCAAGTCCAAACTTCACCCCCAACTACATCCCTGGGTCCATCCTCTTTCTGCACACAGGGACAGGGCCTCAGACTCAGTCCTGATGTTCAGTAGACAATCTTGTACTCAGCTATGGGTTCCAGAAGAGCTAAAAGAGTCAACTCTATTTCTATGTTGGAAAATAAATACAAGTGCCTCGCTTCTTGTTCAATTTCCTCAAAAGTAAAATCTGTGTTTGCTTACCTTATGAATGGGCTTGTTAGATCTGGCAAAAAAAAGCCTAATTAATCTGAATTTTAGATAAATTTTCAGTATAAATATATTCTATACTTGGGACATATGTACACTTAAAAATTATTCATTGTTGATCTGAAATTGATTCTCAGTTAGCTTTGAATTTCAAATTAATAACAATTTTAGTATAAATGCGTTTTATGTAATATTTAGAACACATACAAAAATTATTCCTCATTAATCTGAAATTCAAATTTAAGCATTTTGCATTTTATCTGGCAGTCCTCCAAAGTAACCTAAATCATAAGGACACCTCTCCAATTCATGTAGTATTTTTGTCCCAGGGGTAATGGAGCCTAATTTTCTATCTATTAACAGTTATTTTTTATCTGTTTCCTCTTTCTTTTAAAATCCATCTGCCACACTCACTGTCCTAAAGTTTAATCTTACCATTATCACTCAAACATTCCCAAGATCAGAAGTACTTTGTCTCCAGAATGCCTGATGTTGTAGTCCATTTTCTGTGGCAATAACAGAATGCTGTAGATTGGGGACATTCCAAACAATTGAAGTTTATCCAGCTCACAGTTCTGGAGGTTGAGATGTCCAAAACTAAAGGCTACATCTGGTCACGGCCTCCTTGCTGTATTAGAACAGAAACAACAGCATATGAATTCAGGTCTCTCTTCCTCCTCTTATAAATCCCCTAATACCATCATGGGGGTCCCCAACTTCATGACCTCATCTGACCCTAATTACCTTACCTCCAAATACCATCAACATATAAATTTGGGGATTGAATTTCCAACCATGAACTTCTGAGGGACACAATAAACCATAGCACCTGCCACCTGAAGTCATATATTTTGACCTACAGTCATGTATTTTGACCTACAGGCCATTTATCGAGTCTCTTAAGCAACTGATTTTAAACCAGAAATTATAAACTTTTGCTATAAAGAGCCAGATAATAAAATTTTTAGGCCTTGAGAGCCATACAGTCTCTGTCACAATTACTCACTCTGTTCTTGTCATAGGAAAGCAGTCATGGACCATGGACAACATATCCATGAGACATGGCTGTGTTCCAACAAAATCTTATTGATCAAAACTGATAAAGGAGATGCATTGGGCTTGCAAGCTGTCAGTTACCAATCAAGTCTAAGTCCCAACTAAAGTATTAGTAGTACCTATAAAACTCTCCCTAACCCAAATGGTTTGAAGCAACTCTTCTACTTGATGATTATTTTAGGTCTCTTTTATGGCAAAGCCCACAATCTGCCATATACAGTGCTCTTGTTCATCTCTGTCTGCGTGCTTGACATTCCTCACAGAAGCTGCCACAATCCTGTACATTAGGTAGATATCTAATAAGAAAGTATTGGTAGGAAGAACGATTGAAAGTTCCTGGAAAGAGATCTACAGAAAGGGCAGAGACTTCCTTCAACTACAGCTTCCTGCTTCTCCTCCAGGAAAAGTGTCAATTACCTTGAAAATTGTGGAACAACACCAGTGCCTTTTGGAGAAGCCCAACTTCCAGGCCTGTCAGCCATCATTTAAAACACACAAAGTCCACCCATCAAAACTAAATTAGCTGAACATTCAATTCCCCAATCAGGATGGTTGGTATTGCAAATGAGTTTGGGCTGAAGCCCTTTTCCTTTTTGAAACACATCCAAGTTTTAAAATAGTTTCAGCTGATCTGAACTGCCAACACATTCTTCCAAAATCCTTCCCTTGAGAGACCCTCATTACCTGCTTCAGCTCCAAAGCCACATGACTCCAAAGCATGTGAGCTTCTCATAGCGAGCCTAGAAACAGCTGGGCCCTGTGTGCCCCAGAGAAAGGGTTTCAGAGCTGGGAAGAATGGACTGAGAGAAAAGCAACAACACAAGCATTTCTCCAGCAAAATAGTACAGTTTAAAAATCATTTTAAGTTAGCTCTTGAAAATTGCATGCAAATTTATTTCTCTAGGTTTTTAGCATTTTTCTACATGGTATTGTTTTTGTGTTGGTTACATTACAACACACTGATTTTGTCTCGCTAATCTTTTGGGTACATTATATTAGTTAACCTACTGTATAGGCTTTTCAAGAGAAGAATACACATTTTCTGTTTCTTCCATATCTCCTAGAGAATTATAATACCCGGGCCATAGCAAACTCTCAATAAGTATGCAGTAAATAAATAAACATATGGAGTGTATTAACTTGCTAGTACCCTTGGTGAGGAAATTAAGTTACTCAAGTTCATTTTTCAAAAAAGAATCTTTCCTTTTTTGGAAAACCTATCTCACTTTTTCACTACCAGTTGGTCCTCTATTCTAAGTCTATTGAAATTTTCAGCACAATGAGAGAGGTTAAAAAAGTTCTCTTGCCGCTATATTTTAGAACTTTTAACCCATTTAGGTCACAGATTGAATTTTTTAAAATTTTTGCATGAAATTCATGTTACCTAGAAAAATTCAAGGAACAAAAATTTGAGAAGAGCACTTTTCATTCTGTTCTCTTGTTATAGGTGTTCCAAAAAATGGACTACTAGGTGCTGAAGGGTCTGAGGTTCTTTTTGACAATGGGACACAACATACCATACTGTTACTTGCAGTTCCAGAGGAAAGACCCATTCCACGTAAAACACACAGGAGTTGCACCTGGGCACAGGGTAACAGTAAGCTGGAGTCTGAGCAGGCAGCTTTTGTAGAGCAAACAGGGTCAGGTTAGCTAGATTTTCTAAATTTCTTGCAAACTGGCTAATTTGAATAACTTCCCTGGCCCCAGGCATAGGGCTGTTCTTAGTTGTCTGGTATCTGGTCCTGGAGTAATTAGGACCTGTGAATAAAGGCCCAGAATATGAATTCCTTGGGTGTGAGGACTTAATTTGCTGCTCAAAAAGGGAATGGTCCAGTCTCTAACCAGAACCACAAAACTGGGTTAAGACAGCACTTTAAACAAACAAAGCTGTAATTATAAACTACAACAGAAAACACAGACCACCTGCAAGTATATAAAGTGTTTTGCATGAAAGCAGGGCCCTGACTCTATTGTTCTCCTCACTGTACTCTAATGCTTAGTATGTCAAAGCCACTCACCATATTTTCTCGAATAAAATAAATCCAGGGGCCGAGGATTTGGCTCAGTGGTTCCGCCACCTGACTCACAAGCGCAAGGACCCAAGTTCAATCCCCGGTACCCCCCCAAAAAAGAGAAAAATCCAGATTTTCAGCCCTATGTCCCAGCAGAGGAGCCCACTGAGACCACTGACCTGGATTCCATGTGTTCAGTAAGTACCAAGACCTACACTGCAGGGGGGAAAATGGAATAAACCTCCTATTTCAAAAACAAAATCTGAATAGGTCAACATCAGTCTGTCAAGACATTATATGGGTAATCTGGGTGATTTTCATCTTGATGGAAGGGCAGATACAGATAAAACAGCTGGGTGCTTATTGTGCTGATAAATCTGAGACCAAAGTAACATTTTGGGGTAGGAAAAATGAGAATGAGAAAAATTAAAACTGGCAAAATGCAGTTAAACTGGAATGATTCTACTGTGGAATGGAAAACTACAACAATCAAGAGTAAAGGGACTATAAGACATGAAACTCCTTAACACAAGCTTGTGCACTTTGGGAAGAGTCACTGTGTAATACTAAGAGCATTTGGAGAGGGCAAACCTTTAGAGACAAGTGCCAGACTGCCACCCAAACCCACTGATTATCACTAAGTGACAACACTGCAATTAAACCCAAATACTGAGGTTTTAGTTTAGAAAAAACAACTCATACATTAACATTTTTGCTCTCAAAAGAAAAACACAATAACACAAAATCCATAGGTTCACCACCACCCATATAACCAATTAGCAGAAAATAACTGAAAAAAATACAATCTAGATTAGCACAAATAAGATAAAGAGGAAACAAGGTCTTGTACTGTAGAAAGTAAGTTATTAGCCCAATAATGCTAGAAAGCAGTCTTAAAGAAATAGAACTACTATTATGTGCCACAAAATGGGGGTTTAGTGATAAAAATCTTTAGAAAACTTTAGATTAAACAAATTTAAATTGTTTCTTGATCATGGGACCAATCAGATACTTTACTATGTTAGCCTATGTTGGGAACCTCCAAGAGGAAAGTGTGATGTAAGGATCTTGGCTATAGAATGTTGCTTTCATGGAGCAGCCTCTGCATCTTGTATTTCATAGTTTCATGAAACACTCTTTCATAAAGTCTATGATAATGTGATTTTTTTCCTCCAACTCTGTTATTTTTCTAGCAACCCAAGTTGTTTTATTCTGTCTGAGAATTTAGACAATTAAATTTTATAACATACAAGGCCATCTTACCCATTAGGGACTAACTAGAAAATTATCCTCATATCTAACACAGGCATCTGTGTACTCTGAGAAAATGAAACTATATGGTCCCCTTTGACATTCTTGGGACAGAAACTATCAGCTTTCCTGAGCGTTAAAAAAAAAAAAAGAAAGTAAAAAAATAGAAAAGAATTGAAGTCAGCTGTGGTGAACAATGAGCGAACATTCTGATCCTACTGTTAACCCCTGTTCCTTCCTGGTCCCGATATCCACTTAATTAAAACCCTAGGAAAGAATCAGACTTAAAGCCTGGAACCAAAGCAGCAAGTTAAGAAAGACATTAGCAACTAGTTTCAATTTCTGCAAATCTTTGCAAAATTCTGCAGTAACTTCTATTGAATGAACATCTAATTAGGACATCAAATAATACTGAATATCAGCATTTAGCTGCTTAGCTTGACATGTTAAGGAGAGGCAAAGTCTGTAGTCAGCATTCCAGAAACAGTAGAATATGATAGGCAGGCCTGTACTCAATTGATTCACTCAGCAATTCTGAGATAAGTGATCTGTCTTTCCTTTTTGCTGTAAACCTTCCTAAAGATCTTGTGATTCTGATGCTTCAATGGGAAAAACGTTCATTGACATTTTGAAGGATGCCTTATGATGGCCTTCAAGAAATTATTGACCATACTTTTTATTTAGACTTCCTTTAAATATTTACTGGGACTTAAATACAAGCAAGGAAAGCTAATCTGAGATCACTGATGTTACAAGGGAAACAGTCTGGACTGCTAAGTAATAACTCCAACATTGGCCTCTTTTATTTAAATAGTTATTATGAATATACCATGTTCCAGGTCTTTAGTCCCCTTCCCTGCTCAGCTCTAGCTTTAAAACTACACGATCAACTCTTCAAAATAGTAAGGGACCACGAGAAATCAATCCAGCAGCTGCTAGATGAAGCAAAGAAGGATAACATAAGACTGATAGGTGTCCATGAAAACACAAGAGAAAGTACAATTGACATAAAAAAAAAAACTGTTCA